CCGGGGGATACGCCGTTGAGATTGGAGCTCCGTCGACTGGATCGGCGGCCCGAATTAGGGTTTCTGATACCGGATCTGTCCTCCTCTTGTGATTCATCTCGCTTCCCCTGTTGCTGCTGCTGCAATTGCTGTTGCTTCAGAGCTCGCTTCTGAAGGTCCAATAGAGATGGCCTTCCTTTCTTCTTCTTCTTCATCATTGTCTCCGCTACTTCACCCATTTTCTCCCTCTCCCTTTCTCCTCCTAAACAGGCGCAGTTTTTTTATTTTCTTCATTTTTTTGTCTTTACAATAATATTTTCCTCATGTGTGGGTCGCACGTGCCTTAGGGGATATGGACACGTGTTGAACAGTGAATAAGTGGGTTTGGATAACGTTACAAGGTGTATACTTATTGGGCTCTAAATGGGCCTCATTTTCAATCTCAGTCCAGAACGGATCAATCTCAAAACTTATGGATGTGGACAAATAGAAATTAAATTTTTACAGAAAAATATTCAATGAAATGTTAAGATTTTCTTAAATTCATTATATATTAATCAATATGAAAATTTTATAAAACAGCATTTTTTTGAATCTTATAACTCATACACGTATATAACATACAATACCTGGGCATATATTGTCCTAACAATAATCTTGTGTGATTTGTATATATAAACATTTACAAACAAATATTTATTTTTTTCTTATAAATCTCATACCATCGTTATCTGACAAGTTACATTAAAAAAATATAAAGATATGTAATTACCTAGCAAAGATATTTTTTTTTTTGTTTTAGTACTTGCAAAATAAGAATTTGTACAAATTGTTGTATATATACACACCATTTTGTTTACATACATACTCTAATACATAAAAATGTCATACCAAGGATATTTTGATAATTATGTTCATAAAATATATGTGCTCCATAAGCATATATAAGTGGGTGGCCGTTGGTCCATAATTCAGAAAACGACCGTAACCAAATGAGATCTAATTTGGTCACTTCCCATATTCTTCTTCCTTTTTTTATTTTCTTTTATTTTCTTTTACTATCATTGTTGGGATCCGATTTTTTCCTCCTCTTCATAATAAAGTTAATGGAAAAATTTAATCGAATTATCTGTAATATGCCCATGTGTAAGGTTATAACAAATAAAAATAATAATTGAGTTCAATAAATATGGAGACAAAAGCCAAATAAAAAAATATATATGTTAAAGTCTATGAACATAGAACCAAACAATATTAGAAGATAGATATATTTTTTAAATATATAACCAAATATAATGTTATATTTTGAATGTATGTTCATATGATTCATATCGAATGTTGATATCCCAAATCGCAATTAGTTCACTAACCATGTCTTAGGATTGATCACTTTTCTAGGTACAAAATTTATTGCACCGCATAGACGGATGACACACTCTATCATGTGTTTTTAATACCATTAAATTATTCTTTATCTTATCTGTTTGAACTAATTTGATATAAAGATGATCAAATTAATATTATCTTTTTTTTGTATAATTAATGCATCAATAATAAATTTTCCTAGTAACAATACGATTACGAATAATGGACCGATCGAGTAGGTGACAAATTGCTTCCTTATAGATTTACCATTCTCCACGCGTACGCGTGCTGACTCTCGCAGACATCAAGACATCAAATGCTTCCATGCTAGTGCCACGTGTACGCTCCTTAAAAAAACTATATATACATATATATACATATATATACATATATATATATATATATTAATGACTATACATATATATACATATATATATATATATATTAATGACTAGTTGATATCCGCCAAAAACTGTGGGTGCTCAATGTTTAATATTGGCCAGGGACCATCTATTTATGCGTCATTGATTAGTAGATCACTAAGCAATAACCAAAATTGGTCCGATAATTCAAATACAAATCAGTATATATATATATATATATATATATATACATATATTACCAATTGATTTCACTTTCTTAACTCCTAATTATATTTAATTACCCAATCTTCAAAGTCCGATACATGTTAATTGAATGATATATGTAATCGACTCATTCTTTTTTAATTATTCACACTATATCATAAGGTTTTCATGATTAATATGCATATAGTTACCATCCATTTTCAACGAATTTTACATATTATATTGATTTTTTAATAATTAGTGTTATCTTACCGTCAAAATCCAAAAGAACAAGAATTGTTTGGTAAAAATAGATCCTGATTTTATTTTAAACATGCACCCAAGAGAACGGTTTTCTTCAAAAAACAATTTATCCCAAAAATACATTCTCTCTATTTTTAATTTATGAAAGCGACCTATAAAAATTGAAAATGAGAAGCGCAATTGAAATTGAAAATTGAAGTCAAGATGGTAGGCCATAAAGTAAATCAGAATAATTAATTAATTAATATTGTAACCAGTTCACGTTGGGTTTCAAGGCTTTAGATATACATATATATAGAGGGCGTAATTCATATACCAGACAAAGGCTCTAGAAGATTGTGTTCTTGGTATTATCTTTTGAACTTTTCACGCCAAACAAAAAAAAAAAAAAACCTGAAAAAAAAATGTGCATCGCAGCATTTGTATGGCAATCTCATCCTTTATACCCATTGATCCTCCTCCAGAACAGAGACGAGTACCATAACAGGCAAGTTTCTTCTTCCTCCTCTGTCCGAGATCATAAAAAACCATGCATGCTCTGTTTCTGCGCACATAGATCATAACAACACCATGTTCATGATGTTTCTGGGGAGATACCAAATGTGCATGAGATGATCTAATGGTCTGAACATGCATGCATATGCCTTGATGATGATGATGCCAAAGTTCTACCACCTCTCTTCCGCAATCTGTTTCCTGTGAAACACAAATGAAACATGCATGCATATATACATATACATGTATAGATATAGTGGTTGTATATGAGGTAATGAGATGGTGAAGCGTGTGGTTAAAAAGGCCAACGAAGGAAGTGGGATGGTGGGATGATGAAGAAGAAGGGAAAGGAGAGATATTGGGAGGAAGGGATGAGATGGGAGGAGGGACATGGTTGGGTTGCTCAAGACAAGGCAGAGTGGCTTTCCTTACAAATGTCTTGGAGCTTCATCCTTCTTCTGATGCTGCAACCAGAGGAGACCTCCCTCTTCTTTTCTTGAAAGTACTAACCCTTCACTCTAAACCCGGGTTTTCGAAAACCCTAAATCAGATTTAGGGTTATAAATGTGTGGTTTTGATGGTGCAGGGTACAAAGAGTCCAATGGAGTTTGGTCAGGAACTGGCTAAGGAAGCACATCACTACAATGGGTTTAACCTAATAGTTGCAGACATACCTTCGAGATCGATGGTTTATATTTCCAACAGACCCAAAGGAGAATCTGTTGCCATCCAAGAGGTTGTTGCTGGTGTTCATGTTCTCTCCAACGCAAAACTTGATTCCCCATGGCCTAAGGTAACATAGGAACGACGACTCCTGCAGGCATTTCAACTGCATGCATGTATGAGGAGATTGTATGTTAGCAACATTCTCCAGGCAGTAGGGCTGGGGAAAAAAACTCGAACTTCGAATACCCAAATATCGTATGGGTATGAGATGAGATCGGGTCACAGTGTGAAAGAAATCCAAACTCGGGTTTGGGTACGAGATCGGATATTACCCGTGGATATCCAAATGAACAGTAAAAATAACATTTTTGCCCTATACAACAAATCTACTGAAATTTAGGGTTTGGGTAACTCAAAAATGCAATTGTCTCGTAGAGATGTAATTTTGAAATGAACAGTGTCTCTTCTGCAGGTTCAAAGGCTAGAACATAACTTCAAGAAAATGCTTAGTAGATACTGGGAAGGCGAAGTACCCGTGAAGGAGATGGCTGAAAAGCTTATGAAGGACCGAGTCAAAGCCGAAGAAAGCAGGTTGCCCGGGATTTGTGACACTGACTGGGAATACAACCTGAGCTCTGTGTTCGTCGAAGTGGACACTCCGCTGGTAAGAACTAAAGAACCTTTAAAGTTAAGCAACTGTGATAATGATTCTCGGGATACTTTGCATTTGTTCATCTCTTCTCTCGTCTTCGAATATCGAAAAAGGGTCGTTACGGAACGAGAAGCACAGCAGCATTGGCAGTGAGAGACACAGGGGAAGTAGTCTTCTATGAAAAGTACCTGGAGAAAGGTGAATGGAAGGAGCATGAACTGAGTTACTTCATCCAAAAGCCAAAATGGACAGAAGCATAATGACATGACAAGATGATATAGGAATATTATCTGTTACTTGTAATCATTATGAGAAATGTCAAGTTGTAATTGTCTTCTCCAATCCTCCTGTGACTATCAAATATGCCCCTCCTCTCCAATATTGTTGTATATAGGGCTTTTTCATTGGTCTAGATTCTCGTTATTCTTGTATATAGAGCTTTTTCATTGGTCTAGATTCTCAAGTAGGGGTGGACACGATCAAGTATCCATGTGTCAGATAACCACGGGTGGCGAGGTGTAAGAAGATGCATAACTGGTATAACTGATATGAGAACAGGACAACTAAACTGACCTTGTTTGCTCTATGAGCTGCAACAACCTCGTTGAAGTGTCTTTGTCCAACATCAACCCAGCAGCCTCAACTTCCCTGCAAATCTCCTTGCACTTGGCCACCCGACCAGAAGCCATATATATACAGATCATATCACGATATATGTCATATGTCGGAGAGAAACTAGCTTCCTTGAGCCTGAAGTAATATCTCGTTGCTCTCGACACATCGTTCATGGCCACGAACAGTTTAATGACTACTCGATATGCTGGAAGATCGAGAAGACAGTTTGATTCTTCCATTTCCCACACCACAAGCAATGCCTCTCGGTACTTCTTTTCCGAAAAACGGCTATGAATTATCATAGTGTACATCACAACACTTGGTTCTCTTCCTGACTGCTTGAACCAGTTAAAGAGGCTTTCCACCAGTTCGAATCTGCCCATTTTTACACTGATCTTCATAACCGATGTGCAGTCCTGATGGCTCAAGCTAAGGTCTTCCCTCTCTTTCAGTTCGTCGAGAAGGGCGGTAACCAGATGATACTTGTCAGGGTTTTTAGCCAATTCTAGAATCATCTTCACGTAAACACTCGGGTCTAGCATTCGCTTGTTAACCTTCGAGAAAAAGAGAAGTTTCCGGGCTAGATTCAGCCACCCACCTTGGATAAATCCTTTAACCATTGCCTCGATCACATTCTTGCTAGCCAAAGTAGTGAACTTGTTGAATTCAAATGGCACTTTCAGCTCGTGGTGCCTTGCCAAGACCTGAACAGTGGAGGCAAGAGTTCGATCGTCTGGGAATAGATGAGATTGGTTCTGCGCCCAACAGAATGTCTGTAAAGCTCTCTCAGGCATTCCCATATGACCCAGCTCCCGAATTGTCAATGACAATGACCCCTTTCGCAAGAATTTAACCCACTTGTTGAGCACAACAGAGACATCTGCATCTGAAGGCAAGCGTTTGATCTCCCTGGCCAACCTGATGAGAAAACTCGGGTCCTTATGCACTCGCTTGGACACCGAGGCACGCGAAGATGCCACAGATTTGATGTTTTTCTTCACAGTTGGGAGCCCCAAAGGCCTTGTTTTGTGAGGAAGAGTCAGTGGCAGAGGCCTATCTCTGTTCAATTTGTCAGGTTTCTGAGGGATCCTATTTCGAAAAAGAGAAGATATTGCCTCGATCTCATCTGGGTCCCAGACAACACTGTCATTCCCGGGTTCTGGTTCTTCATGTCGAGCCTCATCCTCAACTTCCTCATCAGGATTACCAGCCTTGTCGTCAATTTTAGGTTTCTTCAAGAACAAGTTGACACCAAAATCAGGAGGGAGCTTAGAGCGACGAGGATAACGGAGATTTCTGGGAAGTTTCTTTTCATGGTTTCTTCTACTGGCATTTACTCTAGCCGTGGCTTTTACACTAGTGTTTCTGACAATACTAGCTGGGAGATGCAGATGGAAGCTAGCAGAAGAGACATGGTAATGCATTCTCACCTCAAACTGGATCCTGATGAAACATAAAGTTTGTTAAATCTCCTCAAGGCATGTCAGAGAAATTTTTTCCGCCTTTTCTAAGCGTGCTGTCCAGAGGGGCTGATGACGAAGCCTTGCTCCTGTAATAAAAATCCTGTAATAAAAGAAATGAAGAAACTGAGGCTCAGACCAAACATAACAATTTACACAGAAGACTAAGCCCCAAACAATCTCCAACATGCCAGGAAGATTACTTGTTAACAGAGTTAAACAATTTAAACAGACTATAAGAAAACCCAAACTCCAAACTTAAAAAGACCAAGTTTTTTAGTTGAATCTCCATAATATCGATAAGAAATGTCTATGTTATAAGTCAATGTCTAGAGAAATTTAGTTCCCCTTCACTGTCCTGGTTGCACAACACGGTTAACAGAAGGACAACAAAGGGTACTTGACGCCTGCTGCTGTGAGAAAAGACGACCTTTTACTTGTCAATAGGCGAACTAGCAGAACGTTCAGAATGCCAAGCTTATAGGATCATTTTCTCTAAAAGCTTCACGGGGCAGAACGCAAGTAAAGTTCAGTAGACCAAAGATTGAGCTGAGAAAAAACAACTGAGCAGAAACTGAAGGAAAAGTCCATGACTTTTATATCAATCGAAAAACTTTGAGCTGCAAGATATATAGAACGAAGAAGATAGCGAGCGAGTATAAGCCAAACAAGATAACGGGTAGCTTCCCCAAATCAAGCACTAAACTTGTTTCAGACACACATTTGAATCGGAACACTTTGAAGCAATTTATGACATATGCAGAAACCTTACAATGTGTTCTATAAGACCTATGCAAACAACAGACAAGATTCAACCTTAGAACAAGATCCGAGATGCCAGCAATGCCGCATAGGCGCTGGTTGAGCCGGAGAGCATCAGTGTAAAATATATTTTCAACAAGTGAACTTACCTGAAAGTTCAGAGATCAAGTGTAAACACATCATCTGCTCTTTTTAACTCTGCACCTCATTCTCACATAACTCCGAAAGAAAAGGGTAACACGAAAAATGGCGTTTTATCGCGACACTTCTCGGGAACTTTTTCGACAAGGAATGTGTATTACATTTCAGAAAAATGTTAACGAAATCAAAAATTTCCCCGGACCCAGATGGTGGAAACAAATACAAACAACAATCAGTATACGAATTCAAACACTTGAAAAGCTAAATCATTGGAGCACATGGATACTAATCCAGATAATAAGCGAGCATATAAACAACCCAGCTGAATATGAAGAAAAACTCAGATATCCAAAAAAAAAAAGAGATCAGATCATCAACACAACAAACTAGCGATGTCATGTTCTTCACGTCGGCATTCATACAAACAGATTCTCAAGCATCGAAACGTCGAGTAAGAAAAGAAAATTACAAAACAAGAGCAACAAGCATTGAATAAACATGTGAAGGTTGAGTACCGAGAGAGAGAGTTCATGAACGTTGAAGAAGCAGGGCATCGACATGAATCCGGCGGCTAAGCAGCAGATAAGATTCTTGAACCCTAACGGGTATGGGCTCAAAGGCCCATACGTTATGCTCAATCTGATTTGGGTTCACGTAAATTAGTAAACCGGAAAACATAACCAAACCGGAATGGTTATTTTTGGGTTTTCTTTAACCGTACTGAATCCACCGGCCGAACTATTGCGGGAATTAAAAAGCTATTATTAGTATTTATAGTTGTTATTATTGCTAATGAGAGGGCAATGAGTCAAATCACTTTGCGCTGAAAACCCACGCGTAGAAGAAGCACAAGAGGAAGCACAGAAACGAGGAAGGGGATTTAAGCTTCGGAAGACCATAGCCAATGACGTGACACCACCAGGATCGATGACGTGGCATAAATCCAGATGAAATCCCGCCTAAACCCCTCAGATTTCCACTTTTTCCCATTCGCGTATTGGCATCCCCCACTTGGCCTCTCTCCTCTTTACCTTCCCGCATCGAATACAAAACGCATATACATAAAACTCTCTCTCTCTCTCTCTCTCTCTCTCTCTCTCTCTCTCTTCTCGAAGCTCTGCGTCTCCCGTCAAGGTAATTTCCGACGATCTCCCAATGATTTCAGCCGATTTCTCTTTGTTTTCTTGTTGATTTTCCTCCGTTTTCCTCGATTTCGTTGTTTTTTCCTCGTTTGTCATGATTTGAACTGATTTTTCTGTATTAATTGATTATCATCTATTCCTGCCGTTTATTTTTGGTGATTTCAATGGTACTTGTGTTGATTTATTTGCTGATCTGGTGATTTGATCGTAGGATCGATCATGAAAGGAGGCAAATCCAAGACGGATACCAGGAGCTCTAAGTAAGTTTTCGGATAGATCGGTGTTTTTAGATCTCTGGATTCACAAATGGTAATTCTGTGTTGGTTGTCGATTCCTGATTTTGTTTCAAAAAATTGTTGGTGATAGGCTCTCTGTGAATAAGAAGCCTGCAAAGGGAGGCCGGGGAAAGGCTGCCAAAGATCCGAGCAAGCCTAAGAGGCCGGCCAGTGCCTTCTTCGTTTTCATGTAAACATCGCATATGACCCTTCAATTTTATGTGTTCAGTGTTCTGCCTTTGTTACCATGGAAAACATATTTTGGAGTCAAAGTTTTTCATCTGGCTATCAAAATCTTTCGAGGTGAGATTAGTAGCATCTATTTTCTGTCCTCTTTCGAGTCAAAACTCATGATCATTGTCCTGTTTTCCTTGTATTTGAGCTTCATTCGATTGATTGTTTTACAGGAGTTTGGATCTCGGTAGTTTGTATGTCTAATTCGTGTGTTGCCTTTTTTATATAAAGGGAGGAGTTCCGTGAGCAATTCAAGAAGGATCATCCCAAGAACAAATCCGTAGCTGCTGTAAGTTCTTTGTTGTTTCCTGTGTTGAATTATTGGGTATGCTTGTTCGCTTCTGTCATAGGTGATGATGATTGAAACTTGAACGCATTACAGGTGGGAAAGGCTGCCGGAGAGAAATGGAAGTCAATGTCTGAAGAAGTGAGTAGATAGATAAATTTGTTAGCGATTTAGAATTCTTCAAGAGCATGTGGGTTACAATGAGTTCCTGACCTTTGGTTCATTGTATGCAGGACAAGGCTCCTTATGTTGCTAAGGCGGAGAAGCGAAAGCAGGAATACGAGAAGAACATGAAAGCATACAACAGGAAACAGGTTAATATTTGAGCCATGTTAATCTGCAACAACAACAACAACTAGAGAAGGCTTGTTCATATCTTAAGGATGTTGAGTGAAAATGATTTTGACATGTATCATGTTATATAAGGATGATGCTCCCAAGGATGATGGAGAGTCTGACAAGTCAGTGTCTGAGGTGAACGATGATGAAGATGGTGATGATGAGGGCAGTGAAGAGGTTTGTCAACGAGGGTTGTTGTTTCTGTCTGTATTGCCTCGCCTCTTCTTTTTGTCTAATTTTGGGTTTTTTTAAACGTTTGGGTCGCTCAGGACGAGGATGATGACTGAGAGATTAATTTCTCATGGTGCCGAGGATGATGATGATGGTAGTTTATAGATGGCTGCAAGATGGCTCTTTCCCATTTCTCTATTACCCCTTGTCTTTTTCTTCTTGTTTCATTTCCTTTGCTCTCCCACATGGAGAAAGGGGTTAAAGGGGTTGTTGGCTCAGGTGGAAGAGAGATTATTTGCAGCTTCTGTGTTACTCCTTGCTATGTTGTGATAACTCCAACAAAATATTACCTTGATGCAAATTCTACTGTGTGAGATTGACCCCTCTTCTTTTCTCGGCTTCCTTAGATGATGATTCTTGCATCAACTCTGTTACAGATGTATTCATACACCGTGCATTAATTGTATTTGAGAAATTTGCGAAAGCTTGGATTGGTGGATTGCCTCCCGAAACAGCGTGCAATTCTTCACCGTTGCAAATACAACGGCAGGGTTTACAAAGCCAAGTGACTTAAAAACGGCATGTAGTTATCACTGTTAATCATATTACGGCACGGTTTGCGCATCCACTCTGACCTTCCATTAACGATGGGCCCAATAATTCATTTATAGTTGGCTCTGTTAGGCCCATATAAGTAACAAACCAAAAAAAAAAAAAAAAAAAAAAAAAAAAAAAAAAAAGAACAAACGACAAACGATAATTCATAAAATGATTAATGTTTTCCTTGGAACATCGGAGGCGATTAAATCTTTTTTGTATCATCACATCCATTTTACGGTATTCTTTTTCCGTCTACTAATCTGATCTATCTGTTCGAATCGAGCAATCGTATGGAAGTGGTGTTTGTCTCAACGAGGACGGAATCTGAGATACGCTTTTGATCGGAATTGAAACCCCGATCTAAGCCCGGTGAGCTCCGGTGGATATTTTCCGGTGATCCTTCGTTCGTGGAGATGGCGGGCCAGAGTCCCAACATGGATCAATTCGAGGCGTACTTCAGGAGAGCGGATTTGGATGGAGATGGTAGGATCAGTGGAGCCGAAGCTGTCGGATTCTTTCAGGGATCTGGCTTGCCTAAGCAAGTCCTTGCCCAGGTATAATTCTCTGCGGATCTTTGCCTTCCGATTGTTTCTGAGATGAGAATTCGAGGTTTGTCAAACGTAGAGATCTGATTAGGTCTTATATGCAGCTAATTGGGGTTTCGAAATGCTGTTGAGTTTTGTTCTTCATCTGAATTTCGTTCTATTCTCTGATTATTGATTGCTTTAGAACTGCATAAAGATGTTTCCTGGAGCTGATCTGATTCTCTGGTTTTCCTCCTATAGGATATTTTCTTCGCCAAAGAGTAGCCTATGTTAGGATCTGACGTTAACAAGTGTAGGACTGTGAAGCTTTAGGGTTTCCTTAATTTTGAGTTGGACATAGGAGTCTCGAAATCTCCTTGAAGTTACGAGATCACATAGTGTCCGCCATATATTCCATGGTAGGCTAAAACAGTTTAGGGTCAGAAGAATCTTTTTGTTTGTATTTGTAAGCAGGATAATGTTTTCGGTGAAGTCTTGTAGGTTAAAAGGAGGGGCTTAACTGTTGTTGGTTCTGCATGAAGTTGGAAGCCTTTGGGTCACAATGCCAGTGTTGCAGGGGATGGAAAGATTGGGTGATTGATTCGGTTGAGATGCCATATAGTTTGTGGTTTTGAATCTTTTATATGTTTGATGGAAGTATCCTTGGCATATTCAGTGTTATTCAGCAATGTTATACAGGTTTCTATTTATTCCCAACTGTGGTTCTTGTAAATGATTCTAATCTTTATCCTGTTTGATGTGATAGATTGTGTATTTCACCATACTCAGTTTCATGGTGGGGTGTTTATTGAATATCATTTGCTTTAATGCTTCTGGGTAAACATTTTTTTTTCTGATCTAGTTTCCAATGTGATTGTAGATATGGTCATATGCAGATCGGTCGCACATCGGTTTCCTTGGCCGGCAAGAGTTTTTTAATGCTCTGAGACTTGTAACTGTAGCACAGAGCAAGCGAGATCTGACACCTGAGATAGTCAATGCTGCGCTCAATACTCCTGCTGCAGCCAAAATTCCTCCTCCCAAAATTAATCTTTCAGCCATTCCTGGACAACAACCTAATCCTGTTTCAGCTGGACCCCAGATCCGTCCAGTTTCCTCTACACCTACCCAAAGTTTGGGGTTTAGAGGGCCAGGTGCTGCAAATGCAAGCGTCAATCAAAACTATTTCTCACCTCAACAAAACCAGATGATGAGACCAGCCCAAGGAATGCCAGGTCTGAGTATGCCCCGACCAACTCCCGGCCCTGCTGGTCCAGAATATAGGGCTAGTCCTGTGCCAGGTCAACTTCAAGTGCTACCTGGAGGAACTGTCTCGCGTCCTCCGCAGTCTGTTTCGACAGGTGTATCTGTTTCAAACATCTCAAGTGATTGGTACGCTGGAAAAACTGGCGGGCACTCATCAGGCTTTGGAGGGGTCAGCTTAGCAGGACCTTCTGCTGTCTCAAAACCTGAGTTGCCTATTACTACATCCTTGCAGCCTACAGCTACTGATTCGAAAGCATTGGTTACCTCTGGGAATGGAACCACTTCCAGCTCTGGTTTTGGTGGTGACATGTTTTCTGCGACACCCTTTCAGCAAAAGCAAGAATTGCTGGCCAGTTATTCCACAAACAGCTCAGCTATTGTTCCTGCTTCTGCACAAGCTCATTCTTCACCCAAGCCTAGTGCTCTTGACTCCCTGCAGAGTAATTTCTCAATGCTGCCTGCAGGAAACCAGCCTCAGCACCCAAGGCCAGCAGCAACCTCGCAGCTTATCATGTCTTCACAAGGCCCGTCTTCCGTTTTGCCACCTGGAAATTCTGTTGGATCTACTACCCATTCAACTCCTGCTGGAAATTCTCTTCCACCGTGGCCAAAGATGAAACCATCAGATGTTCAGAAATACACAAAGGTATTTAAGGAAGTAGATAGTGATAAAGATGGAAAAATTACTGGTGAGCAGGCAAGGAACCTGTTTTTAAGCTGGAGGCTACCCAGAGGTAAGGATCTTCAAATTTTCAGTCCTTTCGAGAAGAATCTATCCTTATCCTTTCTATATGAAAAGATTTGAATTCTTTGCTTAAAACCAAGGCAATTTTTGTTGGTTGACTAACCAATCTTTTTCTCCATTGGGATATTGACATTGATCTGTTTCGTTATTTTAATTCACAAACATCCCCAGGCTTATGTTTCTTTAAACTTGTATGTGGTTTATTCTGCCACACAAAGTTTGTATTAACTTTTTCTTTGTTACTCGATTCCAGAGGTATTGAAGCTTGTGTGGGAATTATCGGATCAGGATAATGATACAATGCTTTCTCTGAGGGAGTTTTGCATTGCATTGTATTTGATGGAGCGGTACAGGGAAGGTCGTCCTCTCCCAGCAGCACTTCCTCAGAGTGTCATGTTTGATGAGACACTGCTGTCTATTTCTGGTCCACCTAGCCTTTCTTATGGAAATGCTGGATGGGGATCTGGTCAAGGTATTGCTCAGATCACTTCCTGTTCACGTCTGCGCTTTCTATCTTTCCCTTATATGATGTTTCTTTAATGAGTCATTTCTTCGGGTTAAGGTTTTGTGCAGCAGCCGGGGATGGTTGCACGACCAATCACCCCACAAACCGGTATGAGGCCGCCAGTTCCTGGACCTGCCCCTCACCCTGGCAGTGGAATCACATCTAATCAGGGAAGGACCCAAGTGCCAGATTTGGGGGATCCTTTTGCTAATCACCTTGGGGAAGGAAATTCTGTGAGCGCAAAGCTTCCGGAAGTGACAACAGAAGAGGAAAAGGCACTAATTTTATTTTATTTCTATTTAGAATTGAGATCCAATTCTGGGGACTTTGATGAGTTAATTTTATGTTTTAACTTTGGTCCATTTGTATTTTCCTGGACCTCAAACAAATTTTTCTGTTTTATTTCTATAGGTTGATGGAAACCAGAATCTCATTATGGACTCAAGGGAGAAACTTGAATACTACCGCTCAAAAATGCAGGATATTGTGAGTATTCTGCTCAGTTGTTCTTCTTGTGTTTTGTCATAGCCTAGGCAAAAGGCAGTAAGTCTTGGAAATGCTGAAAGATCCTGATTTGTCAGAACCGGCATAGCAGTTGTGATTTAATTTAGCTGGATTCATCAGTGATGCATGTAGTATATTGGTGGTTTAGGATTATATGTTTTGGACACTGTGCTGCTGCACAATCAAGATGGATCTATTGTCTTCTTGGGATATTGAACAGTTGGAGTTCTTGTTGTTCAACTTAAAAGCTTGAATTAGCTTATATATTTGTGATTTCAGATTTTCATTCTGTTCTCCGTTGTTTTCCTCCTCATCAGGTCCTGTACAAAAGCAGGTGTGACAATAGACTAAATGAGATCACTGAAAGGGCTTCTGCTGACAAGCGTGAGGTGCTTTTACATACAGAATCATATTGCTTATGTCTGTAGAGTCTGTTTTCTATTATTTGGACCATTTTATGTTGCAGGCTGAAACATTGGGAAAGAAATATGAGGAGAAGTACAAGCAAGTTGCTGAGATAGGATCGAAATTGACTATTGAAGAGGCCAGATTCCGTGAGATTCAGGTATGATTAATTCCTACCTTTTAAACATTTTACATTAATTTTTCTTTACTTATACTTTCTCTGAATCTATGATTAATTCCTACCTTTTAAACATTTTACATTAATTTTTCTTTACTTATACTTTCTCTGGGTTATACACTGTGTATCTTGTCCCTCTCCCTTCGTATGTTTTATGCCTCTCTCCTCCCTTGACCTCTGTTGCCAAAAGGCTTTTCAATATCTCTGTAACACCCGCCTCGTGGAACGATGAATGCATTCTGAGTGTCTTGCAAGAATTGTTACTTACTGCAGTTGTATTGATCGATTCCAGGAGAGGAAGACGGAGTTGCATCAAGCAATTATAAATATGGAGCAAGGTGGCAGTGCTGATGGTCTTCTTCAGGTACATGCTATCCTGTATATTATGAGAAAAAAAATTTGTTTCCATTTGATGTGTCTGATTGGGTGCTTTTGCAACACGCTTAGGTACGGGCTGATAGAATACAATCCGATCTTGAGGAGCTCATGAAGGCTTTATCTGCACGATGCAAGAAACATGGATTGGATATAGAGTCAAAGGCACTTGTAGAACTTCCAGCGGGTACTGTTATTTTGGCATATTATTCTCTGTTATACAATATTGTCTTTTTGCGTTTTTTGTTAAACCATATGAATCACCAGTCCGTAAAGAAAAACTTTGAGAGGATGCTTATTTTCATTATCCAAGGCTTTTGATATATCCTCCATCCGTATGTGTAACCCTGGATTTTTAATGAATTATATCATAGCCTTATTAGGCCTTGCATATTCTAGAGTTCTTGCTTTTGCATCTCTTTTTTTTTTTGGCGTCTTGTTATACTGTCAATAAATTGTAATTACGTACCTATGGAACAAAAGAATTTTATGGCATTTATTTATATGCTCTGACTTTTAGGCTGGCAACCTGGGATTCAAGAGGGAGCAGCTCTTTGGGATGAAGAATGGGATAAGTTTGAAGATGAAGGTATAAATATATATTGTCTTTCAGTTTGTGTTACTATTACATTTCGTGTTCATCCTTAATCATTAGCTAATTGTCTCCGCATCTCAGGGTTTGGCAATGAGCTCACTTTTGACAAATCCAAACAGCAAGAAAACGGCTCCCTCGATGATGGCAGTGTATCCCCTGATTCATCCTCTCATTTGAATGCTAAGGATGGAATTTTCTCAGAACCCACTGAACGTCACCTTGAAGGTGAATATGCGACCACTCTTAGTGATGACGAAGCGGCAAGAAGTCCTAGAAGCAGTCCTGGTGCGAGGACTGCCATTGAAACGTCATCTCCTGAGTATTCTCATGGAAAGAGT